TAGCAGAGCCGACGACTTGAAGGAATATATTGTAACCAAATTTGAAATAGTAGTGGGGGAGGTCAAAATCACAAAGTTCAGCCACCAGGCTAGCTGTGACATTATCACAGTTCCTGATAGCTTGTAGTCCATCTTTGTGTGGAATATTGGTGTAGAGGGCTTCTACGTCGATAGTGGCCAGGATGGTGTTTTCTGGAAGATCACCGATGGATTGTAGTTTCCTCAGGAAGTCAGTGGTGTCTCGAAGATAGCTGGGAGTGCTGGTAGCGTAGGGTCTGAGGAGAGAGTCTACATAACCAGACAAGCCTGATGTTAGGGTGCCAATGCCTGAGATGATGGGGCGTCCAGGATATCCAGGTTTATGGATCTTGGGTAGCAAATGGAATACCCCTGGTCGGGGTTCTAGGCATGTGTCTGTACAGATTTGTTCCTGTGCTTTGTCAGGGAGTTTTTTTAGCAGATGGTGATTTAGGTGTTGGAGGACCTACCAAATGAGATATCGGAGAAACAGTTTGAGAAGTAGGAGAACAAGAGAGGACAATCAAAAAAGGAAACAAAGAGCTCAAGGAGGAAGCTGTGATCAAAAGCAGTAAACAAGTCAGGAAGGGTGAGGTTAGAGTATAGCCCTTGATATTTGACCAGAAAAAGATAGAAACATTGATGAGGGCTATTTTGGTGAAGGAGAGAGAATAAAATCCAGACCGAGGGGAAACAGAATGAGGTTCCAACAGTGGTGGAAGAGAGGAACTTGAGGAAGACATTATAAATTGCTCTTTATTTAGCAGTGAAGCAAGATAGTGTGGTTGGAAAAGCAGGTGATTTCAAAGTTGGGGGGATTTATTGTAGCTTAATCTTTTAAAATAGACGTTCTTTTTCTTTTCCAGATAGTTCTCTGCATTCTTTGGAAATATTTACACCAGCTGTCTTTTGTCTTTCAGTTAGTTCCATGCCCCCCTTAATAATGTTGTCTAAAAGAGTCTTAGATTCAAGATTTAAGTCATAGATTCCAAGACCGGAAGGGACCATTGTAGTCTGATTTCCTACAGGCCATAGAACTCCAAAATAATTCCTCGAGTATATTTTTTAGAAAAACATCCAATCTTGATTTTAAAATTCAGTGATGAAGAATCTATCACACCCCTTGGTAAATTAGTTCAGAATCTCAGTACTCACTATTAAAAAGTTATGCCTTATTTCTAGTCTGAATTTGTCTAGCTTCAACTTCCAACCATTGGATAAGGTGTGAGGTCAGCTGGTATAGTACCTATAAACATATGTAGTGTAAAGGAATGTGCAGGTATTTTGGGCCCCAAATGTAGCCTGTTTATCCAAATAAATTTTACAAAACCTTTTTGTTTTCATATATTAAGAAAATTCTGTGAAAACATGTTTGTTTTTTTAATGTAAAGATTTGTCTGCAGTGTTTGCAACCAGAACATTGAAGCATCCCCCTACTGTAGGAGAACCATAAACTGAAACTTACTGGAACGAATTCCATTGTCCAGCACTATATGGAATTAGTTATACCTGTAAAATTCTCAGTTTTAATAATTTATTAGCAAAACAGGTAAATAACTTATTGATTGAATCCCAATAATAAGACACTGAGTCTTTGAGCTGGCAAAGAGTGAATTTCACTCTGCTGTGTGAAAATGTGCTGAGCTATGGTCAATGTCATTTAATTGTTATAGAATAATTTCCTGTTGTTGTCCTTAGTGTCAGTTTTATAAACTAATTGCCCTGTTCACTGTTCATAATCTCACCCTTGCCCCCCAAGCATGAACCCAGTTGCAGCATTGTACAGTGAAATAAATTACAAGTTTATATGTTTTATATTAATCTGTTATTTTATTGCATTTAAAATACAGAATGAAGACAATATAGACCTAAATCAAACATACAGTTCTTCACTTTCTACGTCGTCAGAATATTCAACTTCTGTTGACTCTTCTCTCTTATATGCACCATGGTCTACATATGGAGATGATATTAAACAATCTGCTGTTTCTCAGATTAGTGTAAAGAACAGGTATGTTATTTTAATAAGTCATCCTAGAAGAATGAGCATCTACTTCTTAAAGGGAATATTTTTTGTCTGATTTAGGGTAAAACTTTCGAAGGGACCTTGTCACGCTGTCTGGAGTGGCTCACTACTGTGAGCGCCTATCTCAGGGCAGCCTGTCAGAAAACAAGAGCAGACACCCCAAACTGGTGGTATAGTCTATTATATTTCACCAAGTCAGTAAAAAATGTGAACTGGATCACTATACTAGTCTTACCATGGAGTCAATGATAGTCCCCTTAGACTCTCCAGCCTTTCTTGTCATCCAGACAAACTGAATTTAGTGGTGATAGTTACATAAACCAAAAATCATACCACATCACGTTTCTCCCAGTCGCAAAGCACCAGTCACTTACACCCAGATCCATTGATACTCCAGATCTTACACCAAAGACAACACTGCCAGCCAATTTTATAGTAAACTAACTATTGGTTTATTAGCTAAGAAAAAAGAATGAATTATTGAGAAGTTAAAGCAGATAATATATCAGGGGTCGGCAACCTTTCAGAAGTGGGGTGCCGAGTCTTCATTTATTCACTCTAACTAAGGTTTCGCGTGCCAGTAATACTTTGAATGTTTTTAGAAGGTCTCTTTCTATAAGTCTATAATATATAACTAAACTATTGTTGTATGTAAAGTAAATAAGGTTTTAAAATGTTTAAGCTTCATTTAAAATTAAATTAAAATGCAGAGCCCCCCGGACCAGTGGCCAGGACCCAGGCAGTGTGAGTGCCACTGAAAATCAGCTCGCGTGCCGCCTTTGGCACGCGTGCCATAGGTTGCCTACCCCTGTAATATATAATAACACGTGAGTCAACGTTTGTAAATCCAAAATGATAGCATAGATGTAGTAATCTGCCAGTTTCCCAAAAATCTTTTCAGGGCTACCCAAAATAACTCTGGGGATCTCCATCTTCATGTTCAGTTATTCTGCCCTCTTAGAATCCAAACAGTCCAGAATTGAAGGATCTTCCTTTGAATCAGTACTTATAGCTTCTTCTCCAGACAACAATCTGATAAGTGTTTTTACTCACACAATGGCCACTTGCTTTGTAATTAGCATTTCCAGTTACAGTGCTTCATTAGCATTTCACAAGATTTCTTTGAGTAATTTAGCAACAAAGAGTCCTGTGGCACCTTATAGACTAACAGATGTATCGTAGCATAAGCTTTCGTGGGTGAATATCCACTTTGTCAGACGCATGTAAGGGAAATTTCCAGAGGCAGGTATACCCACTTCGTCAGATGCATGTAATGGGGAAATTTCCATTACAAATTTCCATTACTGCATCTTTGGGCACCTAAATATCTGTGAAAATGTGGCCCTTAGGAACTTAGGCCCAGAACAAGGTGCCTCTTTAGGCACTAAGTCCACCATTCAGATGCCATCTAATCCTGTAGGCATTTAAATTTTTGCAAAGTGGCATTGTCAAAGCTGTCTAAGCCCTGACACCACCCCTCAGTTAATAAGCAACTCTGAGCCCTAGCTCAAGTCGAAGCCCTGAGGCAGGGTTATCAAACTAGGCAGGGGATTACCTGTCCACCAGTGGAGCCAGATTCTGTAGGCCTGCTCTGAACTAGAGGTCTGCTCAGGCCCAATTTGAGAACCCAGCCCAAGAGTGTCGAGTCATTTTTGGACCTGACCCAGACCCTAGTCAGTTCCGCTGCCTCCTGCCCATAGGTCAGCATTGGCTGTGTGCCCTGCTGCCTTGTTGCACGTGTGTGCTGCTGAGTGAGAGCTGTCTGTGTGCCCTGCCAGCTACTTCCACCTTGCCATACCTGCGTGTAGTGGAGTGAGAGGCACTGGGACTCCTCAGCTCAGCACAATTCACAGCAAATATACACACCTCAGTGAGATGGTGGCAACCAGCATGACTGGTGTACACAGCTGCCTCCACAACAACCCCACGGGCTTAAGGAAGAGAGCTGACCCAAGTCTAAGAGGGTCCAGTTGTTTTCCTACCCAACTTGTAATCAGGTCCCATCAGGTTGCAGGGCTCTACTTTGAATAGTTCTAAGTTCTGATACCTGTCAGACATTCTAGCAAGAGGGCCATTAGGGGGGTGAGCAGCACAGTACATAGGGCAAGTGTAAGAGGTATCAGGTGTGAGCAGGAGGTGGAGGAGGGAGAGAGAGAGAGATGTTGTTTCAACTGCAAGAATATGTGGGGGGTGTAAAAAGGCAGGGGGCGGAGCTGGGTGTGGGGTTGGGGGGGGGGGGGGG